TTATGTGTTCTGATAGCAGGAAAAAAAAATCATTTTAAGAAGATTACTATATAACTAGTACCTGGAAGTCCTGTGGAGCATGCTGCCTCTCACTCTTCTTTTTTGCCATGTGGAAGATAAAATAGGCGGTAGGAAGGTGTCTTATCCCATCCTTTCCACCACCACTCCCAACTATTCTTTTAGTAGCTGATGGAGGGGTCTAAGAATTAAAGGTAATTCTGGCTGAAGACAGCAGCCTAGAGACTCTTTAATGTCAGGAACGCAGAGAATCAGCAAAACTCCTGGGAAGGATTGGTTTTGATATTTAAAGGTTGAATCAGATAGGCACATACTGATTAAAACCATGTTTGAGAACTGGCACTTACCCTTGGTCCAATGTTTGCTGCTATTTACATGGACCACACACAGTGTTTAAGGACCCTAATTAAGCTCGAGTTCCTCCTCACTGCATAGCATTGCAGGCCAAGTGTGGCCGTATCGTCCCATTTTTTCAAGAGATAGGATTTTTCATTAACTGAAGGAAACTTCAAGTGTATGAGAGATGAGTGTCTCCTAGAGCTAGATTTTTATTCTAGCATTTTAGGTAGAGTAAAAAATAAATCATTCAAATTAAAAAAAAAAAAAGTAAAAAGAAAGGAATATTCTGTAAAATCCACCTATTTTTAAAATGTTGGTAATAATTTCAAAAACACAATTACCACCACAATGGAAAGCTATTCAAGGCCCATTCAGTTCTCACCTGAATCTGGGTGAGGAGGTTCTGCAGGGTGGAAGCAAAAGTATTTAGTGTAATTATAACAGGACGATAGAGGGTTGTTCACGCGTAGCATTTAGGAAAAGGAAAAGACCTCAAAAGAGGTGACATTTTACTTGGGTTTTATAGAATTTATTATATAGTTCAATTACATTTATAAAGCTACGTGCTGTCATAGGAATCTGGTTTACACAGATTGCGTGCAGACTAATTTAAATCGGAACGTTAAGATATCAGAAAATGAATGAATGAATAAACAAACAAACAAACGAACAAACAAACAAATAAATATATCAGAGAAACTTCCTTGCTCCAGGAAGACGGAACACTAAAAGAGCAGGTTCAGTTCTCTTTGTGTTTTTATATATTTAGAGAAATGGGAATTTAGAACTAGAAAACACTTTAGAGCTGACTTAATCCCACAGCTAATTTTCAATGAATAGTAATAATATTTAACACTAATAATGGGATACCAATTTATTAGGAACTGTTCTTGTTGCTACCCTATATTCAGGGTAGCAT